TGGGTCCCTGCCAACTCTCACAATGACCAAAGTCCTCCTCCTGGCCTTCAGAATTCATAGGTTTCTTGCTTGTTCACTCTAGTCCCTAAATCAGAGCTACTGGCCACAGTGACAGAATAAAGATCCAACCAGTATCCTTGGTTGACACAGAAGAAGTACTCCTTACTTGATGGCCCTGCTTATAAACGTCCTTTTAACTTAGCCCAGTCTTTCCCTTCTTTAGATTTTCACTACCCTAACAGTCACGTTGTAACAATGGGAATATACTAATTGTCACTGATTTGCCATTTCAAATATTTTGCTTTTTTATCCCAAAGATCCAAGATCTGTGGCTTTAAAATGCCTGACACAAACCAAGTACAAATTGTTAATTAGATAACACTTACTGAGCTTAACTCACTATAACATATTTGTTGTGATTTTATCTCCTATAGTTACACGTTTCTTATAATTGTGTCTTAAAATAATATCTAAGACAAGAAGGGCCTAACTGGTTTCACAAATATTAAGCTTATGCAATCATTAAAAATCCATTGACAGCACCACCCCTTCATGTTAGTTTCCTTACTTTTTGTTTCTTCAGATAAAGAAGCTAATGATCATAGACACAAAGTGCCCCTATCAACTGGAAAGTATTAATGCTAGCTGGCGGGCTTAGCAAAACATATAAAAATTGTTGCTTAAAATAAAATGAAAAAATCCAGGTTAAGCAGGACAGCACAGTTCGATAAGATAGCTGGAGTTATTTTTCTAGTGTCTACAAAGAGAAAATAATACCATCATTTGTTTCTTATTAAAAGAGGGGGAAAATCTTATTTCCCCAAAGTAAAAAAAAAGTACTCTAGCAGAAATGGACTCATTCAATTCGAATGACTCCCTGAGAAAAAATTTGGAGAATATATTAACTCTGCTATAAACACATTACTCAGAAAGTTGAAATGGAAGGACTCTAGCCTGTTCATCAAACTTGGTGGTTGAAGTTCTAATCCCCACATGATGAAGCCACGTCTGGATAGCTCTCAGATCTATAAACACAGCCACAAATATAACAATTTTGATAGCAATCCCCTTTAATATCTTTTAAATAGTTCCCTACTGAAGTTACTTAGAAGAGCAGATATGATTAAACTCATTCAAGACAAAGAAGGGAGGTAAAGAGGAAAATCTGGACAATTTCATGTTCAAAATCATCTTGTTTCTTTGAATCACATGACTACACAGAGCATCAGGGGGTAAAAAAAAAAAAACAGAATGATTCTTTTCCTGTGTTTATATAATCTGGAATAGCAGCTACTTTTTTCCCTCCAGGATAAATTTTAAATTATTGTAGAGAGAAGAAAAACATAAAAGACAAGAACCACCACTGACATCCTCACACAGTTCCCAGGGGGATGTCCAAGTAGCTAGCACATCTCTCCTTAGAGAAGTGTGGAACTGCTATATGGTTAATCCATTTGGAAGGAACAGCTTGTTCTAAACGCAGAGACGAAAGAGATTTGCTGTAAAATCTACTCCAACTCCCAAGAAGACAACAGTGGATTAGGTGACCAGAGAGACTACTTGGAAATTTCTCTGCTTGTGGTGTTTCTGAGTCATGTCTTGGGTCGGGGATAAAGCTGATTTTGAACGATGTGGGTCATGCTTCAGCAATGTTTTTGCTCTAGACAGAAGGGCCATATGGAAACTATGAACGATCTTCATAGACAGGGCCATGATGAGCCAATGCAACATTTTTATGTTTTCTGTTTCTATTCAAGTGGCCTTGTGAACAATATATTATTGTAAGTCATGGCGTATTATGTCCCTTTGTTAAAATTCTGAGTTGTGACTTTTTAAAAAGCCATAGATGTTTTTAAAAGAGGGATTTAAAAAATACTTTCATTTAACAGCAAGAAAAAAAAAGAGAGAGAGAGATGGAGTATTTTTAGGTTAAATATATTTTCATCCTTCCCTCAAGGTATTGGCATGCTTTGACAGACCCATGAGGTCATGGTCCAAAAGCTGGAAAACTTGTTCTCAAAATAAAATCTGAGCTTTTATTTCTAATAAGATCCAGCAATAATTTCTAACATATATTTAAAAGATTCTAATTACCAAGAAAACCTAAAAAATGATGCAATTTTCTGAGACCTAGAAGGTGTGTGTGTGTAATCCTCTAGCTAACTAACTTGAGGGGTATGGTGCTCATTCAGATTGTCTTACCTTGATAATTATTAAGAGATCAATATACACTGCACTTCAATATTTTAATAAATAGAGCAAATTCGCGCCCCCTGCCCCAATCGGGTTAAAATTTAATGAGAAACTGTGTGGGTGAGGAAAAATTACAGTTGTTGGCACAATACCAAAACGGGACAAATGAACAGCACTTATGTGATTACGAGTTTTGTGTAGGATGTGGGAGGCCTACAGAATGGCTGAAATTAATATGTGGAAAATGGCTGGACTAGCTCCTTGGAGGTATTGAGAAACCATCACACACACTCACACAGCTTGTAAATCTCTGCAAAGGCCATGATGAAAAATGATCCTGTTTCATTATTATAATTAAAATACAGCCGTCTCAGCTGTTTTCCTAAAGAAGTAAAGTAAGAGATAAAGATAACATGGCTACAAATTGCTTATAAATGGGATAAATTGAAAGAACTTTGGGGGGGGTCTTTCAGAGAAAGTAATGAAAACACAAATGCATTCTATGCCTAAGATTAGGAAAGAATAACAAAGTTTCTGCATAGAACAAGTGAATCTCATAAAAAGATAATTTTTAGCTTCTGCTATTTCTTATTTTGATCATCTTTATAGAAAACTATATAATTTATCTATCCCCATTCACTGTGATGGATTAGGGTGTCCCAACTGGGCTGTATTCACTGCAAATCATCAGAATAAAGCCTAAAAGTGACAGGCTTTTATTCTATAGCTGACAGACAGGTTTGACTATTTCAATGATCAAAACACTAATTTGTTTCTAAACAATAAGTTCAGTCACATGACATCATTCATATCCTAAAGGAATAGTTTTTTTCCCCCCTTCCTTCAAATTCGTTTTGAATTTGAGTAGTAGAAGTTTTAGAAGACTATAACATGTAACTATTTAGGGACTTACCATTATTTGTTCCTTTTTCACAAAAGAGGAGTTTAGCTAGAAACGAGCATTCTCGCCTTTTCTTTCCTAGTCCTTATTCCTTCTAACAGACATATACTTTTGAAAGTTTCTGCCATCACTGGTAACATCAGCTAGCTCATCACCAACGCCACTGGCGCGGTTTCTCCTCCAGAGGAGAATGAAGGGCATGAAGTCACAGCCACGAGGCCCCGTGATACTCATGGCATGGAAGTTCAATCTCAACCGCTCCTCTGGTAACGTAAAACATTTGCTGCAAAATGCAAATTTTGCAGGAAGTGCCTGGCCTAATGGTAAAATAGATGCTGGAATGTCTGCTTCTTATATTGGAGTGCCTGGCTCTCAGCTCCTCTGGTTAATCTAACTTCCTGCTGATAGGCACCCTAGGATTCAGCAGGTGAGGGTTCCAGCAGCTGGAAGCCCTAGCCTGAGTATCAAGCTCTTGGTTTTAGTCTGATGCAGCCCTGCATGTTGCCAGCATCTGTGAGGTAAAACAGAACTCCCAGCCTGACTCTATCAAATAAATAAATAAGATATCAATGGTATCTTTACTTGTGATGACTCAAAATTTGGATGATAACACTTCATTACTCCAAAAAAAAAAATGAAAACTTTCTTAGAACTGCCTCATAAGCATTGTATGCTATTTGTAAAATGTAAAAGGAAAGTAGCCTTGCTATTTCTTATGCCATTTAATTTTTTCTAATTGTTCTTTTCATTAAGACAACTACCACTAACAGACTTGAGCTTCCTTATCAACAGCCAAGTCACAAACTGATATTTTAGAACAAGTGACAATGTTTATGATTAAATGATTCTTCATGCTTTTGGATAAGCACTGTTACTTTGTGCCAGTGTATACACTGCATTTCCCTTTGTGGAATGCTTGTAAGATTCGTTAGATCTTTGACTCTATATTTTTAAAGGAACTGCCTTTGAAACATCTTGCTTTCGGGACACAGTCATTGGTCATCAGAGAATCAATGTGTGTTTTTCAACATTTCAATAAAATATTAAACATCTTTTACTCACATCAAATTGTGAATCCACACACCAGCTACAGAATAAGGTCAACAGTAGACATGAAATTCTTGGCACAATAAATACATCTGTTTTAATGAACATACAGATTTTTACCACAGGTTTAAATATTTAGTATTCCATCAGTGTCCTTGTTTTTATGCTGCCTACTAAGAGAGAATCTGATACTCTAATACTGCAGCAGCTACTCCAGAAAGGGTCATTACAGTGTAGCTATAGACAACAGCAGTGTGTCAAACAATACCACCTTCTATATGCGACAAGGCTACACACAGTAAATGCTTTTCCAAATATAAGCCATCTGCTTTCCTACCACCAGGAATATCAATCCTAAGTGTATTTTCAAAAATACTTAAGAAACAATAATAGATTTCCAAGTGTAAGCCATGTCAATAATCTTCCATGTTTCTTAGTTGAACTATTCATCTGCAAGTGATCACTGCGATAAGGAAGGAACATCCTCTCACAGCTTAATTCATGCACTGGATAGAGAAGTAGGTATCAAAGATTATAGCCCTTCCTGAAATTTGCACAACTCATTTTCAGTAAGATGACGAAAACCACAACAAAAGCAACATTATAAATATGAAGGCCAAAAAACCAAACCAAACCAAACCAAACAATAAAACCCACATGCACTGAAACGAGCAAAAACCAATTCTGCATAAAACACAGGAGTGATAAATGCCATTAAGTATGTTCCAAAAAAACTCTACAAAAATAAAACAAGCATTATTCAACAGGATGCAACGAAATCGGAAAAAGCAAATGGTGCAACATGAGACACAAATCGACAGATATGGATGTGAGGCCCACAGAGGATGTCTTTCCTTACTTGCACAAGTATCTTGACGGATTCGAAAGGTCTTTCACCATGAAGCACTCGCCTCCGTTCACACAGAAAGTTTTCTCCTTTTCTGCACACTTGACCAGGTGGCTTGTCCCGGTGGTAGATGTGGACGTAGCTGCAGAAGAGATTAAAGAGAGGAAGGTTTACATCTATCATCCTCCTTTTAAGCAGACTTGACTCTTAAATTCTCTTAGATGAAAGAGTTCATATTATGTAGACTGAACTTCACTAAACTCTCAAACAATAGCAGAGAAGTTAAGTACTATCAGGTGGGTAATTAAATGGGTAATTAAACAGAAGGACACTTAGAAATTCATGTAATAGACAAAAGACAATGCAGAATTTTAAAAGTAGACAAGAAATGCAGATATTCTTTTTAAAAAATTGCAACACACTAAGCATATATGTGTATAATTCTACTCTTCCCTGAACTTTTTGAAGTAGTTTTGTGGAGTAAAAGCATAAAGTCATAAGCAATTGCATAGTTAATTTAAGTATAATTAAATAGGGAAAAGGCTCACTTTTAGAACCAATATTATATCCTCTAAGGTAGCTGGAAAAGTAAAGCTCTAATGTCATTAAGAAAAATGCATTTTCCAGGAAGACTCAAAGGTATTGGTCTGAGCATACGTCAATGCAGCTCAATCTGCATGTCAGCTTCCAACGGCGACTAACTGGTAATATTATTACTCACGTTGGAAATTACACCTTACATGTATAGAATGTATAGAATGTTTCATTTTTAGACATGGTGAATGGGAAAGAAAATTATCAGGTGATTTATCTATTTCAAATTAAGGATTTATAATTCAAAACAAACTCACATATAGAGTGGAAACTATTCTGTTCCGTTTCTAATCTATTATAGTTCTTACTCAGAAGAACACTCTTAGATGACTTTTGAGAAAATGCAAAGACAGTTCTATTTTTCTGAGATGGTCAAATAAAGTACTATAAACTTTTTTTTTATTTAGAATTAGGGGGTGAAATTGAACTTCATTTGGGCTTGCAGCATCATTCAGTGAAAATGTTCATATTTACAGATTCAACGTCATAGGTAGGTGGAAGTGAAGTTGAACATGAGCCCTCACTGCTGGGTGTATGGAGTCCGTGAAGCCAAAACCCAAACTGAGCTTTTAAGAACATTTAGTCTCAGGAACCTCTCCCCACCTGAACACCACTCAAAACACTACGGACAGTGGCCAGGCCAATGCAAACAGGTCTCGTTCAAAATGTTTATCACTCATATAATTAGGATGAAAAGCAAAACCCAAGTCAACTCAGCGAGGATCTTATTTAATCTTTCAGGAAAAAAATATCCATTTTAGACAAGTTTTCTTGCTTCTTACTGAAAGGAAATACATGTCTATGGACCATTTTCAGTGTTCAGGGCATGACTTCCAGTCCAAGCAACTGGGGTTTTGGTGATACAGCTGGTTCACATTGCATCTCCTGCTAGCGTTGCGTCCTTGAGCAAGTCACTAAACCACCAACCAGGACACTCCATTTTCCCATATAGAAACAGGGATAGTTTATACTCTTCTAGGAGTTTTTGCAGAGTAACCTATAATCTAGATAAAAGCGCAGAGGCAGCATTCTAGTGGGCACGGAAGAACCCTCATACTGTACTTTTCAATCAGATAAAAAGCATGACCGTGGAGATCTGGGGATTTCAAAGACACTGTTCCTGAATCTGCTATTGAACACGACAACTGAGTCCATTTTCCAATTTTTCCAATCTGTGTTGTGAGGAGACGAGAGATTTTACTATCTATTATCAGTTATCCTTTAACAACTTTATCAGAAAGAGGGAAATGAAACCCACTTCTCTTTGTCTGTAAAAACACAGAGCGGCCGTTTCTCTATTTCCCACAGCATCTAATTTTAACATAATATTATATTTTGGGTGAACACATGTTTCATTATATGCTATGCAGTAATACATTCATCCAAGACAATTGCTTCCAAAAAATATCAGAAAGGAAGTTGCCTCCACCGTTCAAGGTTTTGTGCTTGAGGCTTTTGACTGCTGACAGGATTCCAAGGAATGACAAATTGGGCAGGGTGTCCTTCCTGGCCCTTGAACACTGCAAAACGGACCACCTGCAGCGTGCTGTCACTACACATTTCTGCAGAGGACTCCAACCGCCTGCAGACCCTAGTGTGTCTGAATCCCTGACAGGTTCTTAAGGATTTCCCATCACCCAAGCTGAGCTACAAATGCTGCACAGACTTAACACAGGTCCTGAGGCTTTCACGAAAAACAACACCAACACAAGCCGCCCACCCAACACACATGTGCAGAAATTCTATACACATTGTAAAATGATCATCAAAGTAGAGGTAGAAGAGACAGAGCCGTCATGTCATTCCTCACACCAATTTTGTAAATAATCTTTATTAAATGAAGATTAAAATTACAAATAAGACCTGGCAATTTGACCAGGTTGGTTAAGATGACATCATCCGATATGTGCATTGGTTCAAATTCCAGCTGCTCTGCTTCAGATCCAGATCCCTGCAAATGCACCCAGGCAAGCAGCAGAACATGGTCCATGTATGTGGACCCCATACCACCCATATGTTAGATCAAGACAGAATTCCTGGCTCTTGGCGTCAGCCAATCTTTTTCATGCTATCCAAAAGTACCAAGCTCTGACACACTACTCTGGAAAGTTCTTGGGCCATTACTGGCAACTAATAATAGGATGTTTACTAGTAAAATTCTTTGAATGACATTATCAACTTTCTCACACAATCATGGGCTATGGTATTTATTACTCTTGTGTTTTAGCAGCAGTGCAATCAAAACATGATCATGAACTGTAAAGGGGTCATGAACTCCCAGGTGATGCCAGTGTGAACCAAGCGAAATCAGTGGCAGCAATTCCATGATCCTAGGTGGAGATGCTACTCTAACACCCTTCAGATTTTTTACAGTTTTCCTTTCATGCGTCTTGGCTGAACTCAGTGCACAAGCCATCCATTCAGGCCTATATGTTGTATTGATATCCTCTGTATTTGGCTTACACACATTGTATCACCAAGTCAGTTTCCATTTGGTAACTGCCAGGAAGTAGTGAAACGGATACAGCAGGTTTTACAACAAACTATGCAAACAACATTCTTTCAGAATGGAGTAGGAGAGAAATTTTATTAAAGGCAAACCTAAAGGTTTCATAGACACACAAGAGAGGATTCTCAAGGCTGGCATTATTATATAGCACATTGGCGCCTGTGGCGCCAGGATCCTTTGTGGGTATTGGTTCAGGTCCCACCTGCTGCAATTCAGACCGAGGTCCCTCCTAGTGCACCTGATAAGACAATGGAGGACAGCCCAGGTCCTGAAGACACTGAAGATACTCCTAGCTTCAGTACAGCCCCACTCCTGTCCTTGCATCCCTCAGGGTAATGATGCAATGAATGGATCTCTCTCGCTCTCCTCCCCTCTGTAAACTTTGCCTTTCGAATAAAAGAAGCAAATGTTTATTTTTTTAAAAAAAAAAGAGGAAAGAAAGAAAAAGAAAGACTCCCAGTTGGTGTTCTGAGAAGGATGTAAACAGCACTCATTCACTTGGGACTTAATACACCTGTCTCCCTCTGCTTTGTGACCAGTGGTCAGAGTTGGGAAACAACGACGGGGACACTGTTAAGGATGCATTTATTGCCTATGTTTGCCATGGCTACAAGTACCTACATTATCCCAAACACACTTTCCTTAACATATTATTCTTTACTATAAGGAAGAAGACTGGAGAATGCACTTTGGGGTATTTTGCTCTAGACTTGCTTTGCTTAGAAAAACATACTCCTTGGGAGGTTAGACAGTTCTCCGAGGATTGCCACTTCTCAGATCTCAATGTCCTTGATTTTCCACACAGCAAACGTCCTTCCTTTTTCCTTCTGCCTCACTCCCTCTCTTTCCTTCTCCCTCCCTCACTTCTTCAATGATTGCCCAAGACATGCAGGATCTAATAATATCAACTGAAGTCAACAGAGTTAAAAATGTTAAGATGCTTGAGGTCAGAGATTGGCAGGGAAGTTAGGCTGCTGTCCGGGGTGTTTGCATCCCATATCAGAGTACCTGGTTCAAATCCCAGCTCCTCCACTCCTGTCCAGTGTCCTGCCAATGTGCACATTAGGGAGCGGGTCATGTTGGGGTCCTACTGCCCATGGAGGAGACCCAGTATGAGTTCCAGGTTTTTGCACTTGGCCTGGCCGAGTCTTAGCTGTTGTGGGAATCTGGACAGTAGAGCTGTAGATGAAGGTTGTTCTCTTTCTCTCTCAGTCTTTGAAATATAATAAAAGTAAGTGAATGAAAAATTACAAAAATCAAAACAACCCTGGTCAAAGGCTCAATTTTGTCCATTTCATTCTAGGAGACTTTTTGCCTCCTGAAACTCAAAATGTTTTGTCAGATGTAACCCAATAAAGGATCAGTCTGTACTATTAGTAATGGCAAAAATGCTGAAAAAGGAAAACAAGATAATGTCTGCCCAGATTCTGAGATGGTATACATTCAAGAGTCAAAGGCTGCTTCCTAGGAAATTAGTATACAAAACGTATTGTGACATCATCTGAATCACTGAATGATTGCAAAGTGAAAGTAAAAAGCGAGAACATAGTCTATGTAACTTTACTATAATTGTCAATAATTTATACTCAGTAAATTTGTTCATAAACCAATATTAAAATAAAGAAAATATTTAAAAGAAAGCTAGTATAAGCTTATGCTTTATTCACTTCTACCATGTACACAAACTCAGAATATTTGACTGAACTACTAAGTTATATAAATTATATGTATTTATAATACTATGTGGTAGCATAACATTTTAAAAACTATAAAATATTTTAAATAGTGTGACTATTCTGCATATGAAATATGCCATACTTTGCTTCTACATTACAAATATAAAAAAACACAGAATAAGAATCCGGGGAATAACTGTCTTTGCTGCTCATTACTAAATGTCTTCCCACGGAATCACACAGTATCTCTTGTAGCGTGCCAATTTTTTTTTCCTGCTCCAAGCAAGCGAAGAATACAATACTGAAAAATATAGCTTGCTTTCTTGTTTGTTTTAAGTGGTGTTTTCCTTATCGGAGAAGCAG